GGTCTGGACCCCGCGGGGTGGGGTGTGGGGCTGGCAGGGCCCTCAGCGGCCTTGTCACCGAGTGCCGAGGGCTCTGAGGTACACATCCCTCCCCGCCTCGCTTGTGTAAGGGGTCTGGAGGCCTCCCAGCTGTGCTGAAAGCCGTTTGGCTGTTCCTTATTCAGGCTGGTCATGTGTTAAATAAGTCGTGTTCCTTGAAGCGTTAAGCTGTTTCGGATTTATGACAGCATTTAAATAAAGAAGCTGGTAGCGTGTAGACAGCAGTATGATTTTCAGTGAGGGCTTTGCTAATGTAGGAGGATCAGCGTGGTTTTATATCGCCTACTGTACCTCATGACGCACGAGTGGGGAGATTTGTCTGTGTAGTTAATTGCATCTTTAAGAAAAGAAATCAGTCTTCATAAACACTAAGTAGTGTCCATCATCTTAGTCCTGAGCAGGGGCAGCAAGGCAGTACTGTTATTTGGGGTATGGTACAGCGTTTCAGGTATTTTTTGAGTGTCGGTGGCTTAGACTGCAAACAGTGTCACTGGGTACCGCACTAGATGCTCTGAATATCGAGCCATCTCTTCAGACTTTTAGAGCAAGGTCGTCTTGAAGGCTGTAGAAGGAACTTTCTTCACACCAACCATAATTGAGTTTGATGTTAAGAAGTAGGTAGGTAGGTTTGACTTAAATTTATGTAGTACGTGGGGGATTTTGCCCGACAGGGCTGAAAACAGCAGAAAAAATGTTAAGACTGAATGCCAACAACATCTGAGCTTTCCTAGAAAACAGATAGGTACATCTTAAAAAGCTTTAATCACTTAGCTGTAGTCTAAATGTATGGTTGTGTGTTGGAATCTGTTGTACTTTGGGAACAGAATTGACATATTTTTCAAAGAGAAAAAGAAACGATAAACCTGTGCTTGCTCATTTAGGGGCTTATATAACTGCAGTGTACTTCATACCAGAAGATTAGAAACACTCCCATTTTAAGAAAACACTTGGAGAAGTTGCTGCTTGTGTCCAACTTTGTCTCTGCCTAAAGGTGATTGGGCAGCTAGTGGAAGTGAATTTCTCAGTATGGTGAGATCTGATATCTACAGAATGTCAGGAGTAAACCAGTTCAGACACGATTAGTTTCCAGCAGCACACTAAACCAGAGTCATTGCTTTGTGATACAGATGCTTGAGGTGGTGTTCTTACAAATGTTAATCTTCAACTCATTCACATCAGGAGAAATCAAGATCCCTCTGAGAAAGAGGGATCCGGGTGAGAATTATCTCAGTAGTAATCATCTCCAGTTTTTCTAGCTCTTTGATTTCTGCAGAACCCATGACAAACGCTGTATCCTGTTCTAAAGCACATCTCGGTTTCGACAGGACATCATTCACGATCCTGGCCGAGGCGCTCCCCTTGCCAAGATTGCCTTCCGTGACCCGTACAGGTTTAAGAAAAGAACCGAGCTGTTCATTGCTGCTGAGGGTATTCATACTGGTCAGTTTGTTTACTGCGGCAAGAAAGGTGAGTTAGGATGGAAAGTGTGCTGCCTGGGCAGTTTCAGAACGCTGAAGCAGATGTTGTTGGAATACATGTTCGGGATGTTTAAATGCAGTTGTGAGCCATCACAAAGCAGTAGCTTCCGCTAGCTTTAGGCAAACCTAGCTTTCCTTCTTGGAGATTGCCATCATCTCCTCGTGCAGCCTGGTTTGATTAACAAGCCTAACCGCAGTTTTTGTCAAGGGTTTGGATTGCTCTATCTAGAGTCCCATTTTGCCTGCATTTCTGTTACACTGAATGGGAAACTTGTGTTTCAAGTCAAACAATAAAAAATGCCCCTGCCTGTTGCTGCTGAAGCATTTATGTGGTGCCCTTCTTTTGTGCACAGGGGCCGGTGTTAAATAGAATTGTAGTTCAGGTACAGGAGCCTGAATGAAGCCGCTGATGCTCTGATTCCTCTTTGCAGCTCAGCTGAACATTGGCAATGTTCTGCCCGTTGGCACCATGCCCGAAGGCACCATCGTGTGCTGCCTCGAGGAGAAACCTGGTGACCGTGGAAAGCTGGCCCGTGCTTCTGGAAACTACGCAACCGTTATCTCTCATAACCCTGAAACAAAGAAGACCAGAGTGAAGCTGCCTTCCGGCTCCAAGAAAGTGATTTCTTCTGCAAACAGAGCTGTTGTGGGTAAGGAGTGACAACTATGAACTTGTCACCGAGTTTACACACTGCTAAGCAAGCTTTCAAACAGGGCCCCAGTTTCTAATACTATCTTGAAAATAGCATCGTTTACAGGCTGTAATGATTCACAGGTGCCTAACTTGTATATTATGCCTGCATTACTTTTGGTTAATGGTAACTTAAATTTGGAGGTGATTTGACCTAGTGAGAGGACAGAAAAGTAGATGCTCGTTGTACTCAGGCTGTAATGGAATTGCTCAGCCTGTAAAATCTGCAGTCCTTGGGGAGGAACTTCTGCAGAAAATGACATTGATGGTTTCCTGTCTTTGATTGACTGAGCCCGTGGGGTAGTGCTGGAGGTCCTTAACCGCTGTAGGGCTCGGCGGTTGGGTGAAGTGTTCTGGAAGGTCTGACGAGGAGTGAAAATACCGCTGTGAAGAAGCAGAGTTTTTACCAGGTTTGTTGCACACTTGACTGGTGGCTGAGATGGCTGCTCTACTCGGTCAGCAAGTGGCACTTGCCCACCTCTGAATAGAAGACACCAGAGTGAGTAATCTGTGGTCTGTTACCCTAGTAAAATTGACTAAATAGATCGTGAAATAACTAGGTATTAAACCTTAAAGTTCTTGAAAGTCCCCTGAGCTCCTTCAATTCATACTTTCTTTAGTTGAAAAACTATTGTTAACGTTACGCAAGAAATTTCAGCAATAAAACTGGTAATGCCTTAGTGTTAACTCAATCCTGTGTGTATGGATTGAAAAAACAGTAATTAAAGTATGTGTCCCCTTGCAGACCACTTAATGTGTGGTGAGCAGCTGGAGTCTGACCTCACTGTTGGTGTTGGCGGGAAAATACTAGCTTCAGTACACAGCTGGGATTGTTGGGGATTGGTCTTTAGAAGGTTATTCTTAGAGCTTGAATGTCACTAATAGATCTTAAACCCTTCTTGCAGTCTTGTTTGTTACGTTTGCATGTTGCCATTCCTGCAGTTTTTTTCAGGAATTGTTGCTGGCGGGGGTCGCATTGACAAGCCCATCCTGAAGGCTGGCCGTGCCTATCACAAATACAAGGCGAAGAGAAACTGCTGGCCGCGTGTCCGTGGTGTGGCCATGAACGTGAGTTCAGACTCAATTAGAGTTTTCCCTTCCCTTTTGTATGGTTTGGAAAGGATTTGTTTGATATGGGGAGGAGTCTGGCATACATCTGGAAAGAAAGCTTCACAGATTACCCTGTAATTGCACATTTAATTAGGGTAGGTAACAGCACTTGATAGTTACTGCACTATATGAAATCAATTTGCTGTTCCCTTAAATCAGTTTATTGCTGTTAAACATCATTACTCATTTCTGTTGTTAATTACATTGACGACTTGCTTTCCTTTCCCACAGCCTGTAGAACATCCCTTTGGTGGTGGCAACCATCAGCACATTGGCAAGCCTTCAACCATCAGGAGAGATGCTCCTGCTGGGCGCAAAGTTGGTCTCATTGCTGCCCGTCGTACAGGCAGACTGCGTGGAACAAAGACTGTGCAGGAAAAGGAGAACTAAAGACCCAGTGTGGAGTCTACAGAATAAATTTTTAAAACACAGCTTGTGTGAAGTTCAAGTTATCTGTTGCTGAATTGTGGCTAAAATAGGGATAATATTCAACAGGGAAAGCTGTGAGTGGAGATTTTTTTTTTTCTTTTTTTTCCTCTCCCCACCTCGAAGAGGAGGAATTGTTCCAGCCAGCACGTTCAGTCTGTAAGCTGGTACTACAGGCTGGAGCAGCACTTTGTGCAGATGCTCTTACGCCCCAGTGCGATGTTAACACTGGCCTAGGTAGGTGGTTGGTTAGGCCTGACAAAGCATTGCAGGCTGATCGCATTAACCCCTTGGTTACCTGGTTTAACCTATGAATCTAGCCGAGATGGTTAAAGGGTGCTCGGTTTTCTCAGTTCATAGGCTCTAACATAATTGTTTTCTATTTTTGTCTGCTATGTTTCTTTGGAGGAAAAGCTTGTGAGAGTAGTAGAACTCCTTACAGAGGAAGTGTTTCAGCTGCTGTCACTGTCAAGTTTGGACCTCCTTTTTGAGCCATCAAGCTTCCCTCTAAGCACAAACCCAAAAGTTTCAAGGGTCACACAACCTGCCACCTTTACTCGTCAGTGTTTGGAAAGGGCAAACAGCTTCAAAATTCTCTCCATTGCGAGCTGCTCAGCAGAGTAGGGTCCAGCTTCTCATGACTGGACATTCCCAGGTACCATAATAACGGCATAGCACTGGTGCTTCACACTGGGGAGCTGTATTCTCCTAAGAACAGCTGTCCTGTGGAAAGCCAACTTTTTGGAGGGGTGGGGAATGAGACGAAAGTTGTGGGGTTTATTGCAAAGTGACTTAGTTCACTGCCTTCCTGAACGGGCCTTGGGAGGAAAAAAAAAAGTAAAAATCTATGAAAGCAGCTGGAGCTCAACTTCACTTCTGAGCACGCCTAAAGCCAGGACTCCTGGTCATGCTCTGCAGCACCTCTGGCTTTGCTGGAGACGGGGAGGGCACCGCAGCTCAGCTGAGAGTTGCGCTGCTGAAGCTGGGGTGCGAGCTTTGGGTTACAGCACGCCCTTCTGGCCTGCCTCCCTCTCGGGGGGGCTACCCAGGGCTGGGGGGGCTCCCTGGTGATACCAACCGACTGCGGCAAAACAAACTGGCAGCCAGGGACAAGCCCTTGTCTGCTGAATTGACTTCAGCCGGTATCGCCGCTGCTGCCGGCCTGCGGCAGAGGGAAGTGGTCAGGTCCTCGAGACTCGTTAGATCATTCGCTCTGTTGTGATAACTCCCGCATAGCTGGAAGCGCTTCCAGAATAGACATGGAGCCCTTTATGGGCTAGATGTTCCCAAACATAGTAAAGCGACGATCCTTTGGGAGATGTGACAAGGTGTATGGAGTGTGAAAGCATATTTGCTCTTTGGAGCAAAAGCTTCTTTCCCTTAAGGTGCAGCATAGTTCACGCACAGCAATCAAAGTAACGCCACTGAGCCTGAAGTGCCCGTGCCGGCCCGTCACGCACCAGTATGACCTTACAGTGGTGGGAATCCAGGGGAACGCAGAGCAAGAAGAAAAGTTATTTTCTATAGCCACCCACAAAAATAATACTGTACCTGGCCACAGGTGGTTTAAAAAAACACCACACACCTTGAAGAAAGGCACCAGATCACATTTGGACAAAAATCTAAAAAAACCAATGACAAGTTTTGTTCCTGTTTATATACCCCAAATACCATCAAAGTTTGTGAAAGTTCATGTCTCACGTTTTTGCCATGAGGTCAAGAAGCTCTTGCTTCTGTGCCCGTATTCTCCTGACATGGATCTAAATTTAACGCTCTTCTTTCTCCCAAACAATATCAGAAGACGAACAGTTTAAATATTTAATGCTCAAATGAGTACTGTGACAAGGGCCAAGTTAAGAAAGACTTCACAATACATCAAATACACAGTAGAAGTTTCCTCACACGAGAGCTGTACTTTCAGGCTGTTGGTACAAAGAACTCCCAGAACAATTGGCATTAAGCGCACCTGAAGGACTCGCAGAAATCGTGGTTTCCAACCACGCTTGGATTTCTTGACTCCGTGTATTTTTCTAGGGAATGGGGAGACGTTTGCCGACAACACTTGCCACCTTCGTTGCTAATCCCAGGTGCTGACAGTAGCCCGCGGGCTGTCAGGTGCTCACAGCCAACAGCAGGCGTATGGGTGTGCTAAATCTATAGGTATGGAGTAATAAATAAGTAAGTACCATGTTCATCGTGCAGAAGGCAGCTACAAACACATTTAATGTAAATACACGGGATGCAATGCTAAAAAGTCTCTTTAAATCCACAGAGGGGTACAAAGATTTTGAAGATTTGAGTCCATTCACCAAACCGAGGAACAATTGCTCCTGTGGCAAGTAACTACTATTAAAGTACAGGCTCTTGTTACGAAGTTTGCTACAAATTGGAGGCTTAGCTTTAATCTTTGCACCCCCGTAGGCCTGAACGCGCACCCCACGTTTGAACTGCTCCTTTGGAAAGTACCTGGAAGTGACAGCCAGGGTTGTGACAAATCCTAGAGACTGTTCCAAACCTTGACCCCCTCGCTGTGCCAAGCGGGGCGGTCGTGCCAGGCAACTACGGATGCCCAGCTGCCCACCCACGAAAGCTTTAAGCGCGTGAGTCGGTAATAAAGCGGTCCCTGGAGCAAGGCGGGTTTCAGGGCAGTGGGATGGGACCGCTCGGGCAAACGGCACTGGGGGAGCAGATGAAGCCAGAGGTGGGATTTGACGTGAGATGGTGCTTGGAAAACTTGTGAGGAGCCCATGTGTGGGTTCACGCAGAGCAGAATTTATGATTGCGAGCATCAGGCTGTGGGACCCCCCCTGGCGCTGGTGGAACCCCACCACGAGGATGCTGAGGGTGGCACAGAGGCCACCGACACCCACAGGAGTCCTCGGCCTCGACGGCGCTGAGCCGAGCCCCTCGGTGCACGAGGGAGAGGGGCGAAAGGAGCCGCTTCTTAGTGAAAGCGGGGGTACCGACAGCCAGGCGGCCACGCGATCCGACAGGACAAAACGTTAGACGAGCAGTATCAGAACTTCATTCTTTCGGAGGAGAAATTACTCCAGAGACTTTAAGTCCAGTGATACGTAACTTAAATTAAAAAAGCCACAGTGATATTAGCAAGCGTCCACAGCACAAGACAAACATTCTCCAGGGGCAAAATGCTCCCCCCAGCCCTAGCGCTGCGGGTGCTAAAAATCTATGAAAAGAAATGGGAGGGAAGAGGGAACTAAATAAAGTGAAAGACTAAAAGAATCAGAGGCTCTAAAGAAACCAACCCAACATGAAAAATGTCAATAAACTGAAACACGTTTTCCAAACTGAAGGTCTAACTTAAGCTGTAGAATAGAGGGTGAACTTCAGCAGATTACACCATAGGGGAAACGAAGAGAACTAACAGTATGACAAGGAAAGACTAAATTAAAAAAACACCCAAAACATAAAAATACACCGCTGAGTTACAAACAAGCCTGCTGCAGCCTGGGAGGATCTGTGACAGCACTGAAGGGACAATGAAAACGGGGCTGAAGTTAAGGTCAGTCGCTGGCCTCGGCGTGGGCTGAGCGGCGTCAGGAGGTTCAGCTCAACAGGGCAGCGGCTCCTTCGGAATTTACGCTGTAGAAATCAGAAATTAAACAAGACGGGGCCGCTGCGAAGAAGCAGGGTGCCTGCCTTTACCACCTCGGCTGGCAAGATCCTCAGGGCAGGCTTACTGCTTTCAAACAACAACAATGCGGTGCAAACACGGCAGTATCAAGTGGGACAGCGTTTGAACAATCGATAAATCAAGAGCATTTTGTCACCAAGGTCTGGTGTAGTTAACCATGATCTATGGCTGGTCCTGGGATTGACGGGTGAGAGCTTTACCATACAGCGAAGTAAACCGATTGGAAACAGCCCCCCTTGTTTCGCGCCTTGGTTGGCATCGCCTCCATCCCGCAGCACACCGACGTCTGCCGCACCCCGACGTTACACAGCTCGGGTACCGCTAAAGCCCTGAAGCGCCAACAGAAGAAGTTAAAGCTCAAGCATCCCCTCCTTGTGCCCCCGTCCCCTGCCCGAGGCACCAGTTCCCCCCAGCAGAGCGCGGGGCGGTGCCCCCACCCCCGGCTCTAAACCCCCCTTTCTGTTGCGGCAGGGCAGGGGGGCAGTGGGCCGACCTCGGAGCTCCCAGCTTTACCGAAGCAGCTTTAATACAAAACCGCTTTCCAATGTAAGATAACAAAATAAATGCAAACCACGTTCAATAAAACGCACAGCATCCTTGCATGGTCTTGTGCTTCTCCTACCCCCGTAACTCATGGGATGCTTTTACATGCACTCCTAGTAATTATATTTTAAGTGTCTATCATATTCAGCAACTTCTTGCTCAAACCAGCTGTTCTGATCAGCGTGACAGAATACACAGTTGATTTGCTTACGTAGTTTATAGCCAGGCTACGGCACGGGTGAGTGTTTCAGTTCCCAGCCCTAATGCTGCGCAGAGGACATCAGCTACTATGCATACAGTCAAACTTCAAAAACTACAGCCATGCTTATTATTTAAATAACAGTAATAAAAAAATCTCCCATAAAGATTAGCATGGTTACAAGGACATCAGAAATCTTGAAATGAAGCAAACTCTGTTTTAAAGAAAGATGTTAAGTGTTCATGCAGGAATTTCGGTGGTTATTTCCACTATAAGACTTTGTTTGCTAAAAGGAAAAAAGATAAAAGAAGAAAAAGATACTTACCAGTGACGCACTAAAACGTCTTCCTTTAGAAGGGCTTCAAATTTCCACCTACCGAAAGACCAAACAGGAATTTCTTTATACTTTCTTAAGGCTGTACTGAGAAACACCAAGTCCTACCTCAGCATCCGCACGTATCACAAATTCTGTCACCGTACCGTAACACACCGCCCGCGTTCACATCGTTATCCCTTCCCGACCCACCGACCTCCCAGCAGCCCGGCGGCTGTCGCCCAGAGCAGATGATTCGGCTGTGCCGAGACAGACGCGGCAGAAGCAAGAC